CTCCCCCCCCCGCCAAAAAAAAAAAAAAAAAAAACTTCACACAGTAGTCTCTTCCGTAGAAAAAAGAATTGGTTTCAGTCATATTTGCCTCTTCTTCCATGACTGAAAATTGGTGACTTTTTTGATTTTGCAACCTATGCATGTGTTTCAGTATATAGATACTTTATTTAAGTCACACATGCTCAGCTCAGTGTATACTGTTAAAATTGCTTTATTCTTCCTATATTAAATTATCCTATTAGCTGGCCTAGTATTGAATAAGCAATTGTACTTTTTTGGTTAAATTGAATTACTTTAAACAAATCTTAAGTTAAACATTATTTCATTTTTCTTTTTTCTTTTTTGGCGGTCCTGGGGCTTCTCTGAGCCCGGGCACTGTCCTGAGCCTCTTTGTGCTCAAGACTAGCACTTTACCACTTGAGCCACAGCACCACTTATGGCTTTATCTATGATTAATTGGAACTAAGTCTCATGGACTTTTCTGCCAGGGCTGGCTTCAAACCATGATCCTCAGATCTCAGCCCTCTGAGTAGCTAGGATTACAGGCTTGAGCCAATGATGCTTGGCATTATGTCTATTTTTCATAATGAAACCATATATATTTCCCTTGTACTAAATTTATAGTGGGCAGTTTTTTAACTTTCATCCTATTTAAGTCTTAGTATGGAGCAGGATCTTAAACCAGTTCTGCTCTGGATATGAAGCAAGTGGTAAATTAAATGCTAAATGACTGTATTTCATATTTTAGAGACCTATTTTTAGTCTGCTGCTAAGTAGTAAACTGTCGTTAAAATGCAATGTTTGATATGTGATAGAGGGTTCTAGTTCTGTGGACTGAGCACTATGCTGGCAGTCAGGAGGCCTGAGAGCTGGAATTCTAGTCATAAGCAGCTACTTCATTGCCCCAAAATAAGCAGTGTGAACTAGATCCAGTTATGTTTCGGCTTTTATAATTCTGTGATGTAGATCAACTCAAAAGGGGGTGGTGAAACACAGCACCCCATTTTTTGCTTATAAAGTTAAAAAGCTAGTATTGCATTTTTTTACATTTAGAAGTGCAGTTGCTTTTGTGCTTAGTATATATGTATATATATATTTTTTTTTAAATTTATTTTTTGGTTGGTCATGGGTCTTGAACTCTGAACCTGAGTGCTCAGAGTAAGTACTCTACCACTTGAGCCACAGCACCATTTCTGGTTTTCTGGTGGCTAATTGGAGATAAGAGTCTCATGGACTTTCCTGCCTGGGCTGCGTTTGAATCTCCATCCTCAGATCTCAGCCTCCTTAGTATCTAGGATTATAGGTGTAAGCTACTGGTGCCTGGCTTTGTGCTTAGTATATTTTTAGAAGAGTTTAATGTAGAATTATTTCTATCAGCAAAAAAAAATAGAGAAAATAAGCTAGTATTTCACTAATTTTCACACACCCATATTTTTTTCCTTGTGTGTATGCACATTTGTGCCAGTAATGGGGCTTGAACTGAGGACCTGGACACTGTGCCTTAACTTTCTTAGCTTTTCCTCTTAAGATTGGCACTCTAGGGCTGGGAAGGTGGCTCAGTGGTAGAGCACTTGCCTTGCATGCCTGAGGCCCTGGGTTCGATTCCTCAGCACCACATAAGCAAAAACAAAAAAGCCGGAAGTGGTGCTGTGGCTCAAGTGGTAGAGCACTAGAGCTGAAGAGCTGAGGGACAGCGCCCAGGCCCAGAGTTCAGGCCCCACAACTGGGCCCCCCCCCCAAAAAAACAAAACAAAAAAAAGACTGTCACTCTACTGTCTGAGCCACAGCTCTGCTTTGGGCTTTTTTCTGCTGAATTTTGGAGATAAGCTTATGCAAGACCATGCAGACACTAAGTCACATATAGCAAAGTTGCTTGTCAGCAAGCTGAAAGGCCAACCCTCTCAGGGACAAAACTTTACCTTGACCAAGGGGGTATGTATGGCTAGGGGACTGGGGGTGGAGAATTTCAATAGGGGTAGGGAGTAGTTGGTAAGAGTGGAGAATTTTGTTGTGGTGGGGCTAAGGTTTATGGTTGTACCTTCCTGTGTCGTCTGATAAGGCCCAAGTCAGCTAATTTTGGGGAAAGGCCATGCTTTGCAGTAGGGCCTAAGATAGAGGAGTGGCTCCTAAGGTGGATGACATAGGCTAACAAGCCTAATTGTATAGGCTTTCCTGCTTAGGCAACTTTGAACCACAATCTTCAGATCTCTGCCTCTGAGTAGCTAGAAGAACTAGCCACTGGTTCCTGGTGAGTTTTCTATAATATATTAAACTTTGCTTTTTTTTCCAGTGAATAAAAGGTGGGGGGGGGATAATAAAAGCTGGGTGCTGGTGGCTCATACCTGTAATCCTAATTGCTCAGGAGGCTGTGATCTGAGAATCAGTTTCAGTTTGGGACAGGAAAGCCTATGAGAGTCTTACCTCTAATTATCCACCAAAAAGTCAGTAGTAGTAGTGCTAGGCTTGAGGAAAAAAAAACAAAAAAAAAAAAACAGAGGAACAGTATGCCCAGGACCTGAGCTTAAGCCCTAGGGCAGGCACAAAAACAAACAAAAAAACCCTGTTGGTTGCAAAATAATTTAGGGTCCCAATAATGAAAATGCCAGTAGATAGCCATAATTACTACATAAATAACCTTAAAGGAATGGTGTTTGTTTTTTATTTCATTTGATTGGCTTTTTTGAGACAAAGTCTTATGTGTTACCCTGGCTGGTCTCATTGTGATTCTCTTGCCTCGGAAAGCTGGGATTACAGGTATGCATACCACAAGTGGCAACAATTGTTTTTTTCACTTTATTTTTGCTTTTACAGTCATGAGGATCAAACCCAGGGCCTTATATTTGCTTGGTCAGGACATCCCTACCCTTTGTTTCTTTGGAGACAGGGTCTTACAAATTTTTACTTTTTCTAGAGTTTAGATTAAAGAGGATAGGATAGAGGTTTAAATGAATAAACTAGTGACTCAAGTTACTGAGGGACAGTCTTTTCTTTTGATTTGGTAATAATTGTTTCTTTTGCTTTGCACAGACTCAAATCCAGTACCTCAAGCAAGTCCAACAGCCGAGTGTTGCCCAACTGAGATCTACAATGGTAGACCCAGCGATCAACTTGTTTTTCCTCAAAATGAAAGGTGAACTGGAACAGACTAAAGACAAACTGGAACAAGCCCAAAATGAACTGAGTGCCTGGAAGTTTACGCCTGATAGGTAAACAAATCATACTCCCCAGTCAAGACTTCCCTGACAGTCCCACTGCGAGAAAGCTGTGGTGGGTCAGCCAAGTACTCGTTTCCACACCAAGACTCAGACTTTTTGAGCCAAAAAAAAGCCACATTCTTAGACTGTCCAGCTTGTAATGGTTAATGTAAAACTTACCAGATGAACCTTGTGTTTCAGCTTTTCTCTCTTCCCCTTCCCCTTGCTTCAGAGGCCTGATTTGCCATCGGACTATTCCGAAGAAGAGGCCACCTCCGAAAAATTCCCCATCTAGAACATGTAGACACTTGAGAAATGTTTCTGTTTGAAGAAAATAGAGGGAGAAAAAGAAGTCTTAAGTCTGTGGCACACTGTGTCTTCAGACAATTTGGAGGATTGAAAACCTAGAGATTTTTAAATCATGAATTGAACATGTAAAATTCCTGTAAAATGTAAGAACTGGAATATTCATCGCTCTTAACCTTGAGCACAGTGACTTAGAGACACTGTATATCAGTTTTACTGATAAGACTGTGGACTTCATGATTGTTGTTGAACTACTGGGTTAAAACTAAAATTAGGTGAATTTTGCTTTTAAAGGATTCACTTGCTAAGAACCAACTTTGAATAGCCATGAGAGAATCAAGTAATAGATGTCAGAACAAGTAGTGCGTATATTTAATTTATTAGCTTAGGACTCTGAATTCCTCAACGGAGCCTTAAATCAATGTGGTTTTCAATCAATGGTTTGTTCATTTAATGGTTTCAAAACTGTAGATAATCTTAACTGAGGAATGTACAAACAAGGTGTGGTATCAAACTTGAGCTTTAAACTGTTTGAAGCATTATAAACATTCATTTTACAACTAGATTGTATGGCTGTGATGAGATTCACTGCATTACTTTTTTCAGTGGTGAACTTAAATCCTCATCCCATCCAACAGGCACATGTTAAAAGAGCATTGTTGTTGGTGTTAATGGGGGAATGTGTTCCTTCATTGTACTTGGGCCTTTTGTATTGCACTCTTGATATTAAATTAAATGTGCCTTCAAGTAGTTGGGTTTTTTTTTTAAAGTTCAAGGAATACTCTGATTTTGTTGTACTCTTAACATTATTTTGGGAGGGGCTGTGGAGAGCAGGTTCGTTTCAGAAAAATTGTTCTGTGCTCTTCAAAGTGAAGGAAAAGGCTGTTTATTTTAAAGGACCTATTCCATCTGGTATAAAAGACAAGGAGAATTGACTGCTGATTTTTGACATGTTTTCCCAGAATAACGCAGTAGAAAAGAATGTGAGCCAGACTCACAAGGTACCTGACAAGATTGGGGAGATATGTGGAATTGTGGGCTGGCCTCAGTGAGACATTTTGTGAATTGACAAACAATAATAGTGCTCAATTTATCTAGCAAACTCATTTGACCATTTAGATGGAATGAGGCATTATTTTCCATCCAGTCCTGGAAGTGAATTTTTTTCATCAGATCATTCTATATCTCACCAATTTGAATTTTCGCTTGGTGATAATGGAGTCTGAGATGAGTGGAAGATATATCCAGCTTGCCCCAACGTTAAATGTTTTAACAAGGGTGACTTAAGTTCTCTCTCTTAATCATTCAAATCAATTGTAAGTATCATGTATGTTTGTGCTTTAGGGAACTGATTGTGGGGCGGGAAAGGGTTGCAAAGGTATTTTGTGTGACTTTTCAGGAAGAGTTCTAAAAATCTCACAATTTATGGGACTTGGAGGGTAAGTAACCAGATCTGTTTGAAATTAGCTTATTGTGCCCAAATTAAGTCTTATGTATTTATTTTACATGTTTTATTGCCACTGTAGAAATGAACTAATTACATCTTCAGTAGGTCAAGAAGTAATTCATAAAATGTATTATTAACAGTATCTTTCTTTTCCAGCTAAGTATTGAGTCACTCTGAGGTCTATGGCCTGTTTTTCTTGTTATTGTTAAATTTTCTCTAAGATAATATTTGTGTATAATATTGAAACATTGGAGAAAGGTAGACGTGGAAAGTGTCAGTCCTGGATGTGAGTAGATCTGACACATTTTGCTCTTTAGGAGCTATAACTGTTTTTGTTTCTTGGGTATGGTCAAGGTAATGTGTATGCACATACAGTCATATGTATATTGGTTTTAAACAACCGGGATAATATTGCACGAACAGATAACTTGCAGGTCCCTCCCTTCCCCCTTCATTTTATCTCTTGGGCGTTTTTTAGTGTGTTTAGATTACTACATTTTTATGTGTATATCATAGTTCCATTATACTAATTATCATGATTTACTTTAATCACCCATAAGCAGATATTTTATATAAATTAGATCATAAGCCAGAGTATCTTAGGTACTTTAGGTACTATATACGTTATTCACTTGAAAAAAGTCATGCTTACCCAGTAATACTTAATGCAGAATTAGTCAACTAGTTTGAGTTGTGGTTTTTGTTTTTGACATGAAGTATGTATTGATATTTTGTATTCCCTTAATATATTTCTGTGATTTGTCTATCTGCCTGCCTTGCTATTTGTTGGTGGTACTGGAGTTTGAACTCCTGTTTAAAGGGCCTTTCACTTCCTAGGCATATAATTGGGAGACACTTTTCCAGCCCAGTTTTTTGCTTAGATTTTAAAGAAGAAAGAACTCTGGGCTGGGCATGGTGTCTCAAGCCAATAATCTCAAGCACTCAGGAGGCTAAGGCAGAAAGATCCAGTATTTGAGGCTAGCCTGGGCTACTTAATAGTAAGACTACCTCAAAAAGGTAGGGGTTGGGAAAGGGAAGATTTCCTAAATTACCTTGTCCACTTTAGTTTGTGCCTTTGGTGACACATATATTTGAGTAGTTTATTTATTTATTTTTTTTATGGTTGTGGGAATTGAACTCTGGGCCTGGGCACTGTCCCTAAGCTCTTCAGCTGAAGGCTAGAGCTCTACCACTTGAGCTACAGCACTACTTCTGGTTTTCTGGTGGTTGATTGGAGATAAAGAGTCTCACAGACTTTCCTGCCCCGGCTGGCTTTTTGAACCGAGATCCTCAGAGCTCAGCCTCCTAAGTATCTTAAGATTTCAGGCATGAGCCACTAACACCCAGACTATAATATTTTTTTATGAACCTTAAATTCTGTTATACTTAGCATTTATTGAATGGGTTGGGTTTGTTTTTTGTTTTTTGTCGGTCATGGAGCTTGAACTCTGGGCCAGGGCGATGCCCCTCAGCTCTTCGATTCAAGTCTAGTGCTCAATCACTTGAGCCACAGCACCACTTCCAGTTTTCTGGAGGTTTATTGGAGATAAGAGTTTCCCGGCCTTTCCTGCCCAGGCAGGCTTTGAACTATTCTTCAGGTCTCAGCCTCCTGAGTAGCTAGGATTACAGGTGTGAGCCACCGGTGCCCAGCTGGGTTGGGTTTTCTGTGATTGAAAAAAAAATCTAAAAACATGTGAGTGAAAGGAGTAAGCCTCAGTTTTTATGTATTTGTCAAGTATTTATTTGCAGTTTCTCATTTTTATGTGTGTGTAAATGCATCCTTCTTTATTTCATGGTATTGGGAATTAAACCTGAGGGTCTTGAATGGACTAGGCCAAGGCCCTACTACTGAGCTATATTCTTAGCACCCTCATACCTGCTAAGCACACACTTTACAAATGAGTATACTCCTAGACTCATTTTTGTGTGTGTATGTGTGTGTGCTAAGAGCACAAGAAATTCTTTAATGACAGTAATTAAGTCAGGTCACAAATATGTATTTTGCAGTAGGATACTTTTTGAAAATATTAAATCCATATAAGAGTTTGTAAGCTAGTTGGAAAACTTTGAGGCTTTTTTAAATCAAGTGATTACATAAATTTTACAAATTTCACAGTATTGTGGGATAGTGATACTAAAAAAGTCACACTTAAACCTTTATGAGGCGCATTGTCATTATCGTGGTCTATAAAGCTTATGGACTCTACAAACTTTGACACTACAGCTATTTGTTTCAAATTGGATGATATGTACATTTCTTTCTTTTTGCTTAGTGTAAGCTATTCCCTCTTTCTCTCATTCCCTCCCTCCCAACGCTGCCCTTGAATCGCTTAGTTCACTTTCATCAATATCCAGTGCAGCTGATGGGCCCCTCTGTTGTATCCCCCCACTTCCCGTTTCCCTCTGATTTTGTGCCCTCCTCCTAGATTCTGAGGCTATATTTGTTTGCAAGAAACAAAGGTGTTGGAGTCAGGTAGCCAAGTGGAAAGGATTCCACTTTTACAATAGTGTCTTCATCTTATTTCTTCACCATTTGATTTCTAAGCCTGTGTTTAGTAGAGACTAAAGTCTGAAGGTGCTAGTTGGAGACATCTGGGGCCACAGATGTCTCCAGCCATTTAAAAATGAAAATCCCAGGGGCTGGGAAGGTAGCTCAATGGTAGAATGCTTGCTTAGCATACATTAACTCCTAGGTTCAATTCCTCAGTACCATATAAACAGAAAAGGCTGGAAGTGGCACTGTGGCTTAAGTGGTAAGAGTGCTAGCCTTGAGCAAAGAAGCTCAGGGACAGTGCTTAGGCACTGAATTCAAGCCCTAGGACTGATCAAAAAAAATCCTTATCATGTGCTAACTCAGGGCTTTCAGATAGGCTCTTTTGAAAGGTAGTCACCTAGATTTTCCTGTCTGGGGTTTTAAAAGGAAATGTAATTTCAATCATTATTACATTATATCAGGTTAGACTACAAACTCTAGGGGTTGGAGGTGTGGCGCAGTTGGTAGAATGCTAGCCACTGAATGAAAGTGGCAGATACTGAGTTTGAGTGATGGTCTCTGACCTAAAAAAAAAATAAAGTATACAAGATCTTAGTAAAAGAACTTTGCAACATTACTTCAAAGAGGGAAAATTTAAGAAGCACCATGGGGGCCAGATGCCAGGGACTCACCTAATCTAAGATATTCAGGAGACAGATCTGAGGGTTGCAGTTTGAAGCCAGCCTAAGCAGGAAGAGCTGTGAGATTCCTATCTCCAATTAATCAGCAGAAAAGTCAGAAGTGGAGCCATGGCTCAGTTGGTAGAGAGTTACCCTTGCGTAGTAAAGCTCATGGACAGCACCTGGCCCTGAGTTCAAGCCTCAGAACCAGCACCAAGTGTAATTTTAATAAGCACTTCAGCTTTTAAAATTGTTCAGTTTTACAAGATCAGATGCCCTGGAAGTAATTATCAGGCAAGTGGAAGTCCTATTAGAGGAAAGCTAGAATAGAATAAGGGCCCAACTCACTGACAGTGTCCCTGTCTAGGATTCCAGTATCACAATTACGTATTTAAATCGGGTTCCTTTAAAAACAGTAATTGATTTCTACTGGAAAGTATGTTATGCTTAATTTGGCACGTATTTCCAGGTTTGAATTATTTCCTATAAGTAGTCCTTTAATGATGCAGGGATGATCTTTACTACTAACATCAGTAAAATCTGAATCATGGCAGTATTACATTCTACAAAAACCCTTTACCCCCCAGTTTGGGAGCCCAAAAGTAAATATATAACATAAAGAAGTTAAATGAGGACTTAAATGAATAGAAATAGTAAAAGAATTGGAGTTGTTTTTTGGGGGGTGGGGGTCTTGTACTGAGGTTTCAACTTAGAACCTTGCCTTCTGGCTTTTTGCTGGTTAATTGAAGATAAGAGTCTCTCAGATTTGTTTATGGGGGCTGGTTTTAATTTGTGATCGTCTGATCTCAGCCTCCTGAGTAGTTAGGATTACAGGTATGAGCCACCAGCACCTAGCTAGAGAAAGTATTTTATGATGGCACCAATTTTTGTAGGATAAAGCTAACTAAGTACCTAACTATTGTATTAATATTGGTATTTCCAAGGCATCTGTTAACTGTCCTGTTTCTATTTCAAATGGTAATTCAGGATGGAATAGATAATTGATTCAATAAAAACAAAAGTGACTACTTGGACACATTTTGTTCAGGGTTTACTTTTGTAACCGTGTTGGCAAAATACAGAAATGCAGAAGATGGATATGTTCCAGAAAAGAAGATGGAAACTACAGGGCACTATCCTGTGTTCTGTATGTGTTCACCCATCACTAATAATTGTAAGCAAAGGCTAATGAGAGGATTGTCTTCATTTTGTGATGGTTGACTCTTTCCATTGCAGCCAAACAGGCAAAAAGTTAATGGCGAAGTGTCGAATGCTTATCCAGGAGAACCAAGAGCTTGGAAGGCAGCTGTCCCAGGGCCGCATTGCACAGCTTGAAGCAGAGTTGGCGTTACAGAAGAAATATAGTGAGGAGCTTAAAAGCAGTCAGGATGGTAAGGTTTGAGGGGGTTTGATTGCTTTTGGTTTGAAAAGTTCATTTAACTTTGAACTGCCTACTGAAAAGTGCCAGGCATGAATATTGTAGGTTAGATGGTTCTCAGCTGATGATTGTATGAAACATTTCTTGTAGAACCAGCAAAGGGATTTATTTCATCTTAGGGGTTTTCCTTCCCGGTTATCCTGATTGCTTATTATACAAATTTCATATTTGTATTTCATATTTAGGATAAAGGTATTGTGTTTTAACTGGCATAAAAATTTATTAATTACTTGAAAGTATCTATTTCTCGTAAGTATAAATCTTGGAAACAGTTGGCATTCCAGAAGATAATATAACTGATCCAATCTGTATAGATTTTGTGCAATAAGAGATTTAATAATTAAATTTGTAAGACTAAGCTTTTTTGTGTATGTTTAGCTACCTCTGCTATATCTTCTGTTTGTGAAGATGAATGTTAATACAAACATAGTCCCACTAACTTTTGCAGTTGTTGGTCGGAGCACTCTACCACTCTGCACCCCAGCACCACTTCAGTTTTCTGGTGGTTAATTTGATATAAGTCTCATGGACTTTCCTGCCCAGGAAAGTGGCTTTGAACCAGGATCCTCAGACCCTAGCCTCCTGAATAGCTAGGACTATAGGTGTGAGCCAGGGCACCTGGTTTCAAACTAATTTTGTTTGTTCTGGGGCTTGAGCTTAGGGCCTGGGCACTGTTCCTGAGCTCTTCAGCTCAAGGCGAGCACTCTACCTTTTGAGCCACAGCACCATTTTCAGTTTTCTGAAGGTAAATTGGAGATAACAGTCTCATGGACTTTCCTGCTTGGGCTGGCTTTGAACAGCGATCCCTAGATCTCAGCCGCCTGAGTAGCTAGGGTTACAGGCATGAGCCACTGGCTCCTGTCATTTTTCAGAGCAGTTTATTGGAGATAGAAGTCTCACAGACCTTCCTGACCAGACTGGCTTCAAACTATGATCCCTAGATCTCAGTCTTCTGAGTAGCTAGGATTACAGGCTTGAGCCATTAGAGTCCCTCTTCAAACTAAAATTTTAAACTAAGAATATATCTGATGAGGGCTGGGAAGGTGGCTCAGTGGTAGAGTGCTTGCCTTGCATGCCTGAGGCCCTGGGTTCGATTCCTCAGCACCACATAAGCAAAAAGAAAAAAGCCGGAAGTGGCACTGTGGCTCAAGTGGTAGAGCCCTAGCCTTGAGCTGAAGATCTGAGGGACAGCGCCCAGGCCCAGAGTTCAGGCCCCACGACCGGACCCCCCCCCAAAAAAAAAAAAAAAGAATATATCTGATGACTAATTGCATTTCTGGCCTTTTGGTTAGTTAGTGGAGGTAAGGGTCTCACTAACTTTTTCTTCCTGGGCTGGCTTTGATCTGTGATTCTCAGATCTCAGCTACCTAAATAGCTAGAATTACAAGAATGAACCACCAGCTCCAAGTATTATTTTTAAAACTGCCTTTAAAGTAATAATTTTTAGCCCTTACTACTTGTTAAGTAGGTTTTATCTACCGGTGAGGGATTTTTTTAAGCCTTTTTAGAAACTTAATGGACATGTGAACTTGTTTGTGTGGTTTTATTCTTGTATGTGGAACAGTCCTTGGTTAGAGTATAGGAGCTCACTGTCCTGAGGACTGGACCACTATGGATGCAAGGCACTGGCTAAAAGTTTAAGGGGCAAAAGGCTTGCCATGGTACACTTAAAGATAAATGTGGACTAGAGTTTTTAGACTATTAGTCAGATACATGTGGTAGAATATATTATTAGAAGCATCTGATTTTCTTCTACTCTCATTCCTGAATATCTACTTAAAAATTCCAAGTAAAACTGGGCACCAGTGGCTCATATCTCTGTAATCCTAGCTACTCAGGAGGTTGAGATTCGGGGATGGCTGTTCAAAGCCAGCCAGTTCGTGAGACTTTTATCCTCAATTAACCATAAAAGGCTGGAACAGTGTTAGCATTGAGCAAAAGAGCTCAGGGACAGTGCCCAGGCAGCAAATTCAAGCCCATTACCAGCAGACAGACATACACACGCACATACACACACAGAACTTCCAAGTAAAACTTAAAAATAATACTGTTAAGCTTTTAGAATTGTATTTGTTCATTTCTCGGGAATTTACTGACTTGGCTTTGTGGCAAACACTTAAGTATATCAAATATGTTAAGAGAGATATTAAAGTAGGTTTGACTCTCCTTTGCACAGAACTGAACGACTTCATCATTCAACTTGATGAAGAAGTAGAGGGTATGCAGAGTACCATTCTAGTTCTGCAGCAACAACTGAAGGAGACGCGCCAGCAGTTAGCTCAGTACCAACAGCAGCAGTCTCAAGTGTCAGCTCCTAGCACCAGCAGGACTACATCTTCTGAACCTGCTGAGCAGGCAGAGGCCACCAGTAAAGACTGCAGTCGTCTGGCAAATGGACCAAGTAATGGCAGCAGCTCCTCCCGCCAGAGGACGTCTGGGTCTGGATTTCCCAGGGAGGGGAGCACAGCTGAGGATGGCTTTCCTTCTTCTCCAGGGAATGGGAATAAGGCTGCCAACAGCTCAGAGGAGAGAACTGGCAGAGGTAGTAGTTTCGTAAACCAACTCAGTGCTGGGTATGAAAGTGTAGACTCTCCCACGGGCAGTGAAAACTCTCTCACACACCACTCAAATGATACAGACTCCAATCATGACCCTCAAGAGGAAAAAGCAGTGAGTGGGAAAGGTAACCGAACTGTGGGTTCCCGCCACATTCAGAACGGCTTGGACTCAAGTGTAAATGTTCAGGGCTCAGTTTTGTAATGTTTTCTCCAGCAAATTTTGATACAGTGTCATTTAATTGGGGAGAGGAGACTGTCCAGAAAATCAGTGCATACTTTTGTCACAATTTGCCTTTTTGTGGGTGTGTGTTTTTGTTTTGTTCTTTTTCTTTTTGCTTCAGTACCTCTGCCACTTTGAACATTGTAATAGTTAATTCTTTTGAATGTTGCTAAAAGGACATTTTGTGTAGGGTCAAGTTATTTTTATATGAGTTAATGTGAAGTTGTAAATGGGAATCTTTAAGTATAACACAATGACGTCTGTATATATCTGTGCTGTGTAAGGCATTCTTCCTTGTGCTGTTATATACTTACGCACCATCCAGACTTGTTAGAGTAGATGTGATTTAGGACTGCCAAGTTTGCCCAGTACAGTAGTTTTTTTACCACTAAAAATTGGACTTGTTGATGGAGTCCTACAGTAGTTTCAGTGTTAGATACAGTTTTTTCCACCATACATCTGTGCAATTATCTTTAGGTGACTGAATGTTTAAGAAGTCTGTGTGCAGAGTTACTCAGTTTTTATGAACTGTTGTATCCTGTTAGTGCATATTGCTGTGACTCCACTATATCTTACCTGTACTGACCAAACCTAAATAAAGATTTTTATTGTAACTCCTTCATTCATTGTTCCCTGTATTTGTCCTTGCTATGTATTTTCATTGAATCACTGGATTCCTCCTTAGCATCTTATGACAAATTGAAGTCAGTCTCTGTATCATTTTTTTTGGGGGGGGGGGTCAGTCATGGGGCTAGCACTCTACCACTTGAGTCACAGCACCACTTCTGGTTTTCTGGTGGTTTATTGGAGATAAGAGTCACAGAGTTTCCTGCCTGGGCTGGCTTTGAATCGCAATCCTCAGATCTCAGCCTTCTGAGTAGCTAAGATTACAGGCGTGAGCTACTAACATATGGCTTTCTGTATCTATTTTGATTGTGCTCCTAACTTTCAATGTCTAAGGTCAGATTATACTTAGAATTTTTTTCTGGCACATAAAAATATGTTAAAATAATTGAAAAGAACAAAAATCTAAAGGAAACAACCCTCCCAGATATTTCTTAGGTTTTAATTGAACAGCTAGTGTCAGGATAATTAATGTATCTGGGGTCATGGTGTCTGTTGAATTCTAGCCCATGCTGACAAGGTATGTACATGGATTATCAGTGTATCTTGTCAACTTGCTAGAATATGAGAAAATTATCAAGGCATAAGACAGTTCAAAGTTTCCTTTATTTTATCCAATGTAATTTAACAAAGTATCCAGTCTCCAACATACATGTATATATGTGGTTAAAATGAAACACATCATTTCTGTTAAGAGCAAAACAGTTGTTTTAGATATACTCTGTAATACAATCAACCTCAGAAGTAGAGGCTCATTTGAAACTGAGGTCTACATTGCTATTTGAAGATAGCAGTTATGGCTGGAAATGTGGCTTAGTAGTAGAGTGCTTGCCTAGCATGAAATCCTAGGTTCAATTCCTCAGCACTGCATACACAGGAAAAGCCAGAAGTGGTGTTATGGCTCAAGTGTTAAGAGTGCTAGCCTTAAGCAAAAGAAGCTCAGGGACAGTGCCCTGAGTTCAAGCCCAAGGGCTGGCAAAAAAAAAAAAAGCAATTACATTTTTACTTACCTAGCAGATATATTTATGGCCTTAAAGGATGTATCAGAAATACTGCACTATTTGATTAGCCTTTTGTGCAATATTCTCAAGTAAATCAATTCTATACATAATGAAATTTTAGGCATTTTGATGTACAACAAAATAGTCCCTTGTCAAATATAGGGCTTTGGCTTAGTAATTTAACTTGCTCCTGTTGATGTTATATAATCATTGGTGTGCAGTAGGAAATGAATTTTTCAACCAGGAATTTTAAGGCTAAACTAAGAGACTTGGGAATATTAACTACCAGTGTTCATAGTATTTGTCAAACCTTCTTTGACAAATAGCTTATAGGATCTCTGGTGGTTGTGTAGTCAGTAGTTCCTTATTTCTGGAATTGGCTTTTTCGCTTGCTGGTATGACTGTTAGTAAGAAGAGCAGTGATAGACCACTTCCTAGGTTGAGATGATTCTTGGAAGTAGTGGCTGGCATTGCATCTGATCTGTCATGTGACTTAGGGAAAGTCCTGCTCTGACTCAGCACTGAATGAATTAAGTACCTGTGCTGTGTTAGCTTGGGCTACTTACAACGTAAGTAATATTTCAGCATACACCTAGTTATACAGCTCTGGAGGCTGAGAAGTCATAATCAGATTTGGCTGGTTTGGTTCCTGGCAAGGGTCCTCTTCCTGGCTTTACAGAGGGCTGTTATTTCTCTTCCTAGAGAGTGAAGAAGGATCGTCTCTTATCCTCACTAGAATGGAACCATCCTTATGACCTAAGTCCTCCCTCCCCTCAAAGGACTAGCCCCACAGCATCCATTACACTGGGGATTAGAGCTTCAATGTATTAATGTGGGGGCAGGCACATTGGGCTCACAAGTGCCAACAAAGAAACTGCTCAATGTTATCACTACCATCATGTCCCACTTTAAGGATTTATTTATTTATTTATTTTTGTCTATTGTGGGGTTTGAACTAAAGGCCTGGGTGCTGTCCCTGAGCTCTTTTTGCTCAATGCTAGCGGTCTCATCACTAGAGTGGCTCATGCCTATAATCCTAGCTATTCAGGAGGCCGAGAACTGAGGATCATAGTTTGAAGCTAGCCCTGGCAGAAAAGTCCCTATGAGACTTGGCTTCAATTAACCACTCAAAAAACAAGAGCTGTGGCTCAATGTGATAGAGTGCTTAAACCTTGAGCAAAAATGCTTAGGGACAGCACAGGCCCTGAGTTCAAACCCCACAACCAACAAAAAACCAAAAGGTTATGCTTTGGCAAAATTAATAACATGTCAGCCAAGTGTACTGTTTCTATATTCCACTGCCTCCGGGGCTGAAGCAAGAGGATTTCAAGTTTGAGACCAGCCTGTTTTACAGAAATGTTGTGTAAGGACATGCTTCTATAATAACGGCTAATTCTAGTGTCTGGGCCACTTTTGCAAAACAATGCAAGGAAGTGCCATTCTGACAGCTTTCCCTCAGATGTTCTGAGTGAATGTAAAAGGAAGTGCCATTCTGACAGCTTTCTCTCAGATGTTCTGAGTGAATGTATACGCTGTATTCAAACATTGTTTATCTTTTTTTTTTTTAATTTTGAGCATGACCAGGATTTGGACTCAGGACCTGGTTCTTGCTCAGCTGGAATTCTAGTGCTTGAGCCATGCTTCCATTCTGGCTTTTTACTGTTTACTTTGGATATGAGTCTCTGATTTTTCTATCTGGCTGGACCTCAAAATGGCAATCCTCCAGATCTCAGCTTCCTGAATAGCTAGGATTTTAAGTATTAGCCACCAGTGCATTGTTCTTTTGAGTTCGTGGGGTGGAGGGGCAGCACTCACCATTCTCCTTCCTGAGCCTCCTCAGTGCTGGAATTATAGGTATGTGCCATTATACCCAGCACTCCATGGATATAATGAAAATTTTTGTGGTAAGGGATGCTATGGACCCATTATGGACAGCTGTGATTAGACAGTGTTGAACTACTTTTACTAGTAAGTAAGGAGTATACTTCTAACTTGATCCCATAGGAAATCCACTGGGATTCACTGTTCTGCTCTGAGACCAAGAAGGAAGTTTGCTGTATGCTAGGTTGGGGAACTCTGCCTGTGGCTAAAACCTGTCCTAGATTCCTGCAACTACAAATCAGTCTAGGAATGATTACAGGCCCCTTCAGGACAAACTAGCTAGCTAATACACAGTGGTCTCAGCTGACTGAGTAGCTGGGACTACAAGTGTGAGCCAGCAGTGTCTGGCCAGTATTCAATTATATTAAATGCCCACAGTCTGCATAAAGTATGTGTGTGTACATATACATTATCTATCTATCTATCTATCTATTTATCTATCTATCTATCCATCCTGGTCATCAGACAATGCTTGTAGATTCCAGAACAGGAAACAGATGAAACTTGGAACTACAGCATGGTAAGTAGAAAAGGTTAGGTGTAAGATTGAGGGGTACCAAATACAAGAATTAAGCTACCTGCAGAAAGTAGAGCTTAAGTGGCATTTGAGAGATTGTTAGCTTAACAGATTATATTATTGTTCATTGAGATTTTATGTAGAGAATAAAAACGTATACATGCAGACATACAGGGTCACAGGCATATATTCACAAACACGTTAACTGAAGTAATATGTGCGGGGGAGGATTCCAATGGTGTGACTTCTTTGAACGTGTTGAAAGGGGAGCTCGAGGGAAGGGGGGGAAGACAAATTGAAAGAGGAAAAGTGAGCAAATAAAGTTATAGTATTCGATGTACCTATGTGAAAATGGAGCCAGTAACTTGGGGATTGGAGGGGTTGGGAGAGATAGAGAGAACAATGAGCAAGATGCATTGTACTCAAACTGTTGAGTTGAAATCCCTTTATACAACTACTTAAGGATAACAAAAAAAGAGGTGAATATAATGAGATTGGTCTAGATGTTTGTTTAGATATGTTAAATTTTGTGTTTACGGGAAATTTAAGTGGGAAGGTCCAGTCTGCCAAGCAGATCAAATTAGAAAGATTTCTGCCCAGTCAGCAACAACGTGGTAACAGGAGACTGAACCGACTGGTATTATCCAGGTTGCTGGCCACACTAAGCTGTGGCCAGACAGCAGACAAAGAAAGCGGGGGCTGCGAAGGTGGCTCATGGTAGAGAGCTTGCCTAGCATGCATGAAGTCCTGGGTTCCATTCCTCAGTACCATTTACACAGAAAAAGCTGGAAGTGCACCCCAGACCTCCGAGCCGGTCATCTAGAGAGGCTCCCCACCCCGCACTCGTACCCCAGGCCCTGGTGCGACGGCCCGCAGTGCCCCGAACTCCAGACCCCAGGGCCCCGCGGGGCGCCCCGCACGCTCCACCCTCAGCCCAGCCGTCCCTGCGCCTGCGCACTGCGGGCCACACGGAAGTGGCGGGGCGGGGCGAGCGTGGGCTCCGCCCCCCGGCGGGGCATGTGAGCTCCAGTGCCCCTCTTTACCTTCTTCACAAGCTGAGCGGGACGTGCGGCAGCGGCTGAGGCGGGCGCGGCAGGATGAATGCAGGCTCCGACCCCGTGGTCATCGTCGCGGCAGCGCGGACCGTCATTGGTGAGTTGTCCTGCTGCTTTTGCCCTAGCCACCTGCCCGCTGCGGATATGGCCTACGTAGGGGAGGGCCGGGTGAGGGGGCCGCCCGAGTCCTCGCCACTCCGGGAGACCCTCGCCGCGCGCCTCCGAGCCTGGACGCCACGCCCTCTTCTTGCATAGCCGGTCCGCTCCGCCCCTCGGGCTTGGATTGGCTCGCTGCAGTAGAGCCACCGTGCAGCCTGGATCTCTCATTGGCTGCCGTAGAGAAGCGCCCTCTACCGAGACCTCTAATTGGCTGGCTCGGGGGTGCGCCACCAGTCCGCCTGAGGTGGCCCGCTGGGCGCTGGTGGGCGTGACGCGGGCTCGGCGACCGCGGCCTCCTCGCGGCCTTTGAGGAGCTTGGTGCAAATCCACCCGGCCTGTGTCGCGCCGCCCCGGGCGGGCGCTCGTCCTCCGGCCGCAGATAACTTGGCCTCCCACCCTTCCCTTGTAGGCTCCTTCAATGGCGCCCTGTCCACCGTGCCGGCCCACGACCTGGGCGCCACCGTCATCAAGGAAGTCCTGAAAAGGGCCGCGGTGGCTCCGGAGGAGGTGTCCGAGGTCATATTCGGCCACGTCTTGGCCGCAGGTAACTCCTCGGTGAGCCCGCCGGCGGTCAGGTTCCAGTCACGGCCGCACACGCACGCACACTCGCCGCCGCACGCCCGTGCGCACGCGTCCCCGGTGGCCCTGCCAGCCTGCTCCCCGCCTCAGGCTCGCTTGCTGCTGGTTTCGTGCCGGTCCTGCCTGGGGCTTGAACTCCGGGCCGGGCACTGCCCCTGAGCTCCCACGCCCCTACTTCTGCCTTTTTGGTGCTCATGGGTGGGCGATAAGAATCTCATGGACTTTGCTACCAGGCCGATTTTGAACCACGGTCCTCAGACCTCAGCCTCCTGAGTAGCTGGGACGATAGATAGGCATGAGCCACCCCACTGGGTAGTGAGCCTAACGGGCAGCATCCTGGCATCTTGGTGGATGTGGGGACTTTCTGAAAACTGTCAGAGGTGAAATCCAGGTCCCTATCCCCACCCCCAGGCCATAGGCTCCCAACTGGAAGCAGATGAACAGGGACTTGGACAATAGGTTCCCAGCCCTGCCAGACCTGTACCCTGAACTAGAGAGTCTCTGAACTCCTGAGTTCCCCGTTGCCCCCCAGACCGTAACCCTATTTAGGCCCCACCACCTCACCCGCCATTGGCACCATGCCTCAGGTCTCCTGATCCTCCCCAGGCACCATGGTGTCCCTTTTCAACTCTCCATTAGAGTTGATCTGGTTTGTTGAGGTTGTTTTCCTGCTCTTTCTCTTTCTTTCTTTCTCTTTTTTTTTTTTTGCGAGTCCTGGGGCAGGGATTGAACTGGGCCCGGGCACTGCCCCTGAGCTGCTTTTGCTCAAAGCAAACACTCGACATTGAGCCACAGTGCCACTTCCCACTTTTTCTGTTTATGTAGTACTGAGGAATCAAACCCAGGGCATCATGCATGATAGGCAAGCACAGTAGCAAGCACAATAATTATGTGGATGAGTTGAGGTACATAAAGGTATTTATTTGCTCAAGCACTAGGTTATTTCATTACCATCCAGTAGGTGTTGCAGTTCACCCATCCAATCCAATCCTATTCCAACATCATCCTGTCTGTCTCAGGACTGCTTATCTGCTAGGTCACTTGGTCTGAGAGTCTCAGTCTGGTTGGCTCCAGAATGGCTTCAGCTGCTTGGGTAGTTCCAAGGCGGGCACTTCTTCCTAGGTTAGGTGAGTCTCTGACCCTGCACACTTCTGAAGAGTAGTAAGTTGGTTTCAGGCTTGCCATCACATGTGTCTCCTTAATGTCATTCAGGTGTGAGCAGTTAAGCCCTCATGTGGGAAGTGGCACTGTGCTCAAGTGGTAGAGCACTTGCCTTGAGCTGAAGAGCTGAGGGACAGTGCCCAGGCCCAGAGTTCAAGCCCCACAACTGATCAAAAAAAATCCAACATGAAGATTGGTCTTCCTTTTTTTTTTTGCCTGGGAAGGTGGTTCAGTGGTAGAGTGCTTGCCTTCATGCATGAGGACCTGGGTTCGATTCCTCAACACCACATAAGCAGAAAAAAAAACAGAAGTGGCGCTGTGGCTCAAGTGGTAGAATGCTAGCCTTGAGCTAAAGAGCTGAGGGACAGCGCCCAGGCCCAGAGTTAAAGCCCCATGACCACAAAAAAAAAAAAAAAGCCCCCATGTGGTCTTGTTGCTTCTGGGTTTGTTTACTATTTTCTAGCTATGTTCCTAACAGGCACTCTACCACTAAACCATATTCCCAGGACATGCTTTTTCTTTAGTACCCTGTGGCTCAGTTTCCTAACAGTATTAAGTGTATTACAGGCTGCAGTTGTTCCGGGGAACATGTGTCAGCTAAGAGTTGGCAACTTTCTAATAAAAATTCCCATTTCAACCTCGCAAAATGTAGCTTCTTTGTATCTTGTAATCAGATTCCCATATAACAAATGAACTTCATCTGTTCTTAATATTCAGCCTAATGCCAGACAAATAGCATTGATTAATATAATTTTAAGTTTTGCTCTTTGTCTCATTTTTGTTGTTTCTGTTTTGTTTTGGTTATGTTGGACACCAAACACAGGTCCTTGTACATGCTATGCAAGCATACTATATTGAGCTACATTCACTACCCTTGTTTTTTGTTTGTTTTTCTTTTAAGGTGAGCCAGGATCCTGCTTTATAGCTCAGGCTCACCTGAAACTCTGCCTCCTGTATGCTGGATTAAAAGCAGTCACCACCACCACACTTGATTGGTTAGATTATTTTTCCCCCAACAAACTCTAAGGAAAGGTCTGAGATACGGATGTATCTGAAAATTGCAATAGAGCAACTACTAAATAACTAAATTTACTATTGACCTTTAGTAACAGATTGTGGTGAGAGTATTTGAAATTTTCCATTTAAATATCTTCTGCTTTTAAGAAGTGTTGAATTTCTTAAATTACGGAAAAGCATTTGTCAGTTCTGACTTCATACTTGTTGAATAACCATTTATCCAAGAGATGATGAATGATGAGTACAGAATGATTTCTTTGTGGAGAAGAGATCTTCAAATACTATGAGACTGGACACTGTATATCCATGGGCAAACTGATAGGTGCCAAGGACATACAGGCCTTTTGGCCTTTAGTGGGAACTAAGCTGCCTGCAGATTTTCAGAAGTGGCAGGTGACCTAGTTGGCATGTGGCATGCCTGTATGTACACTGTATTGTACTTTCCT